ACCAGTCTCTCCTCAAACCACAGTTGAGTCCATGAGGTAAGTTTGTGTTTCTGTGAAAAACTACTTAGGAAGGGGCAGAAAATGCCACAGAGAGAAAAGGAGGGCTTAGAAAAATTAATGAGAAACAATAGAGGACACACTGATGTTAGTGGAGGAGGCAGTCCATGGTGAAGTGGATATTCACTGCAGCCAATGGAGGATCCACAACAGAGCAGACAGATATTCCTGAAGGAATTGCAAAGAGTGGAGGACCCACACCAGAGAAGAGAAAAAGATCAAGAAAGAAGGAACAGCAGAGAGAAACCGCTTCATACTGACTGCAAGGTCAACCCAACACACTAACCTGTAATATGAAACAATACCAATTATCAAGCCAATTATCATGGCTTAACCTGGAAGCTGGCAACTAAGCACTAGACAGCCGCTCGCTCATCCCTCCCCTTTTTCATCAGTGGGATAGGGAGGAGAAATGGACAAAAAGTAAAACTCGTGGGTTGAGATAAAGACAGTTTAATAAAAGCACAAAATAAATACTAATACTAATACTAATGAATATGCAAAACATACTACATACAATACAATTTTCTCACCAATGAATGACCGATTCTCAACCAGTCCCCAAGCAGCGATTGTTGAACCTGAAGGTTCCCAAAGCTCATGAATTTTACGGATTTTGCCAAACACGCAAATTTCACATAACTTGTGAAGCTCATAAATAAAGACTGAACTCCCAGAAAAGTTCGAACTCCGGGCCAAGAGAGGATTCAAACAGAAAAAATAAGAGATTCCTGTCCCCCAGTCAGCCTCCATTTATAAACTCAACATGATATCCTATGATTTGGAATATTTCCATTGGCCAGCTTGGGCTAGCTGTCTGACTACACGCCCTCCCAGCTCCTGCACACCTGCTCATTAGCTGGAAAAAAAAAACTGGAAAAAAGTACTTGATTTCATAGAAAAATCTGAAAACCTCAGTGTTATCAACATTCTTCTTGTACTAAATCCAAAACACAGCAGCTGGCAGGAAAATTAACTCTATCCAAGCCAAAACAGGACAACAATTAATACAACATTTTAAAATTTCATATAATTGAAATAAAATCTCCCAAATTTCTTGATCAGAGATGCATGTAGTAGGTCATTGCTACAGAAATACTCTAACACTGATATGATTAAGTTGATATTGACTATTCTTTTTGCACTACAACTAAATGTCTTCTGGTGCACAAATACATTTACAAGAGTTATTGATACTTCAGATAGTATATTCCTCTACAGAACCAAAATGTAGGATTTCTTAAAGGAACTCAAATCTTTATGACCTCTTTTTCAAACACTTTAAATATCAACCTGGAGCTCAAGGCTGATCACACCTCAACACCTCTCTGTTAGTCTGACCATCTCTTTTTCTGCCACTGACTGTGAGTTTCGTACGGTCAAGCAAGGTTCTGAGACCCAGCTGTGGTTCTTTACTTGTACATCTTCAATTTTGTAGTTTCTAAAACAAAAGTGGTGACATTTGAATAATACTTACAGTTTTAATTGTATTTTAAATAAAATTCTTGCTGATGCATAAGACACAAAAGAATCTAGTTCCCTCTTTTAACTTGAGCTTACATTCTCCCAAATCATACACTAACAAACATTCCAGTATAGAAAAACAATTAATTATACATTCCCTATATTGACCACTATTTCAAGATGTAGTTGTATAAATACTTAAGTTGCACTGATTTCAATAACATTTAAATCTTTATTATTTAGAGTTCCTAAACAGCTCTGTGTTTTGCAGTATAGACATACAGTGAGTCAACAGACAAGCAGTAGGCGACAAGATCAGGTGAGTCCTCATAGTTCATGATGGAAGAGGTACGAGTGAGTCACTGAAAAATGCCTGTTGCTATAAAGAAAGAAGTACTAAGTGAAGAGGACAATGAAGTAAAAAAAGCACTGAGAGAAAGGCAGAAGTCCAACTTCCGTAAGAATAGACAAAATTGTAGATACTTAACTGAGAGAACTCTGGGCCACTCCATTCTGATAGGAGTTCGCCATTATGAAGTGAATGGATCTTGGCAGAGTTGCATCTATAATACTTACTACTTTCAGAAAATCAACCTCCCTAAACAAGATTTCAGACCATAAAATGGTCTAGATCAAAATCAAATTCCTGTAATGAATTAAAAAAGGACAATGAAAGTAGTCAGGAGACACCACTGAAATAATGTTGAAGTAACTGTAAGGCTCCTAATTCTTCTTTTCTTATTTTCTAAATCTTCTCAACCTTAGCATTATTTTTCATAAAAGTCCTTATTTTCCTCTTTCACTTTCACTTGTTTTCCTTTTAATAAATGTAGTTGAGTTCAACGTAAATAGCTGAGTAACTCAGCAAATAAATGGGGTTGAACTTCAGTAAAACCAAGCAATCTCTGCCTCTGTAAGTCAAAGAGAGCAGATATGGACTGCATCTATAGCATACATGAAAAAATGTACATTTTCACTAAATAAAACCTTACTTAAATTCCTCACAGATGAGATAGAAGAGTTTGTTCATTGAATTCTGGCAATATAAAACCATATAAAAGGGAAAAACAAAAGTACACAAGCCTAAATAGGAACAGTTTTCTAATTCCTGTTTCTCTGTTCCAATAATTACGTTGTTACACTAATTAATTCACTTGAACAAATTCTGAGAGTAGTGACTGAGGGAATTGCCATCTCTGTATTGTTTTAATGAGAATAAAAATCTAATTCCACACACACCGAGCTTGAAATTGCATCAGCTATCTCTGAAACAATATGATGAGCTAATCACCAAAGATAATTATTATTCTTGGTAACAACCATCGTAATACAATATGATTTTTAATAAACAAACAGGTGGAGATAATAAAGCTACCAATAGCTGAACTTAACTTATTACATAATTTTTAGTCTCAATATTAGTATCCTTAGCACAACTTTGCTGACTGCAATTTCCTTTAGCACATTAAAGACAAGTTACAAAGGACGAAAAGCATAGTACTTACAGTGATTTAACACTTCAGTGATCATTTTTCCAGTGAAAGAAAATACTCAAGAAAAGCTTACTAGTCATTGCATTTCTGGATAAATTATTTTATATGCTTTACTATTAACCCACTTGTCAACTAGCTATCTAACTTGGACTTGTCTAATCAGAGAGGACAATAGTATTCCAGACTTGTATTCTGAATAGTGGAAGATCGGATGATTTAAAAAATCATGAATTTTAATTTATAAAGTAATTTTTAGCTTTTTAATTTTGTAGTCAACATTCACGTATGAGGTATAATCCATGCAAAAGAACTGAAAGGATCATCAGTGTATGGAAAAATCTTAGTGACTTGTGTGATATTTCTTTCAGAGTATGCATGATTTAGCAAAGGTTTGCAAAATTATGTCACAGAAAAAAAATCTTGCCAGCCTTGCCAAATCCACTTCAACACTCAAAAATCTATCTTAGGTATAATATATATTTTTTTTCTATATATATGCATACATGTATAGACAGATCAATTGATCAATCGATTGATTGACTGATCTTTGCGTTCTATTTCTTTGCATGTTCCATACCAGGCAAAATCATCTGGTTCTTTTCAGAGAAAAAGCATTTATTATTTGTTTTTGGTTTACACATTTGGAAAGTAGTGCTATTGTTAAAAGTTATAAATGAACTCAGTCAATTCCATCTTTGAAAAGGGAATATGACCAGGAACAACATTTTTAAATTTGAGCCATTAAAATACATTTCCTTCTGGAGCCTTCACAAAAAGAGCACTGAAGGGTACACAGTATCTCAAAAACTTCTCTCCAGACTTTTGAGATCTTTCAGTATATCTTACATGATTCACCTCATGTCCTGCCTTTCACATCTCTGACAATTTGCATCTATTTTATAGCCAGAAGATATTTAATCTGCCTCAGTGATTCAGAAGAAAACATTTCACAATATCATTCGATATTGTCAGCATCTTATTGGATTCAGCATTGAGAAAGCATGTACTACACCGCTACAAGCTATTTTGGGGCATACAACAGAAAAACAATACACCAGTGAACAGATTTTAGTGGTCTGATAAAGATCTTGATGGAATCGATCAAAGATTTTATATTAGTTCCATAGTCTGCAACAATAGCTGAAGGTTGAAGAAAATAAATAAAAACAATGGACATGAACAGAAAGGGTGAAAATAGGGTAACTTGAGAGACTTGTCTTGCTTTTAATCTTAATTACTGTACTGGCATGTGGATAAATAAATGATAAGGATACAACGAAGTCTGAGAACTTTGGGCTTTATTTTAAAGCGGTTTCTTTTTGTCCTTCCCTAATATGTACATTTGACACAGAGGTTTCTTCATAACACAAACCCTTGCTTCATTCTCATCTCTCAAACATCTCCATATTACCCAGAGCATAACAGTAACCAAGTTCAGATACGTCTTCACAAAAAAACCCTGTCGGATTTAAATCTTGCTTTATCATTTTTTTCTGGGTAAAGAAAAGTCAGGCTTCATGTGTACAAAAGTTAGGAACATCTCTCAAGTATTGCTAGGAAATACAGAAGAATTAATAGTGTTCTGATGCCAGAATATTCTTTTTCATAACTATGTTTCAATAGGAGCAACAGACCATTTATGGAAACTGTACTCTAGTACACCTAATTCAGTCTAGATGGCCAACTATGATTTATTCATGCAATATAACTTTTGTGATACAAACTACACTTTATATGTCTATAAATTAAATGCTAGAGATAGCAGTCTGAGAACTTTGAGGTAAAATACTGAAAAGACTAGGCTTCCCCAATACTTCTCCCTAACTCCATTTTCCAATATAGAAATGCAAAAACTCAAATAAAGGTGGTAATAAGTTCCTAAAGATCAGGTTCCTGAATTATATTCCAATATTTTGAAGGCAGAGTAAAGAATCATGGCAGAAATAAATCCTTAGAGAGCAGAAAATGTATGAGAAAGTTTCTTACCTCGGCAGTTGGGTAAAGGGCTACTCCACTGCCCATTGCTTCGGCACTGTGCTCGAGAAGCACCCTGAAGTAAGTATCCAGTGTTGCAAGTAAAATTTACAACATCATTTAAATTGAACTCAGTGCCATTAGTCATTCCATGAGCTGGATTCCCAGGATGTCCACATGTGATTGCTGTCAAAAGAAAAATAGGCAGGCTAGCATCTAATTCGAAGTTACTGTTCCATGGAATCACTTGGAGGTTGGAGCTCTTTCTCCTTCTGAATTTGTCTTTTATATTTATAGAAGAAATTTAAGAAAAAATAGGATATATTTATTCAGAAATCTTAACTGCCAGGACAAAAATCTTAGTTTTTCAATAAAACTTTAAGAATCTACTTTTCACTTAATGTTGAAAGTTTTAATATGAATAATTATATTTGTATAAGTATTTTGACACCCATCTGATATGTATTAGACCTTAAAAAATGTAGAAAGATCACTATATTTCCTACTAATGCAAGTAAAAAAAAAAATTCCCTGCAAGGATCAAAATGTAGTAGGACCAAATTGAATCTGATGTACTGCTTCAGAGCATTCTGGAGTTCTGAAGCATTCCTATTCCAATGTTCTTGACATGCTTTGTTGAAATAGCGATCCTTTTAATCAAATTTTCTTATGGCAATAGAGAAATAATGGTTGGGAGTAAATCTTTCCCATTATGTATATTATGGGTGTTGATTATGCTTAAGTGACATTTATGAAATGCACTTATTATGGTCAAGCACTAGCTTTCAAAACAAGACATTCAAATAATATAGAAAAATATAGAAAAGCATACATACTGATAATAGAAAATCAGAATGTATACACACACACACACACAAAACTTCTCAACATTGTGCTGGTGATGTACTCGAATAAATATCCTCTACATAGGTTTCTCTTTTGTTTTATTCCTCTGTGGTTTGGTTTTCATTTTTAATTGAAGAGACAAGTGAAAAATAATTTAAATGTGTTTCTCTTTATTTTATCCTGAAATTCAACCGTAAAACAGTATTTTCAATAGTACCTGAACTTTGGAATTTAAATAGGATACCTTCATGTATACAGACTTATGTATTTAGCCCTTAAATTGTGTAAATAAATCTATTTAAATCACTTGAATCCTTTCTGCATCTTCTCATTTTCAGCATTTGAAGATGAACTCCTAAACATCAGAATAAAATCTTAATACATGCACAGGATCAATTTTATCTAGCTCTGTTGTTAAATTTTGAAACTGTTACAGGTGATGAAATTCAACAAATAAAGCAACTTCCAGGTTCATACTAAATCAGTTAACATAATTCTTACATAAAAACGTATCAAATTAAAAACATGCTATGACCTCAAACTTTCTGCAGCTTCCTGAACAAATTATATGCCATAGGTTTTAACAACCTAATATTTAGGTCCCATGTAAAAACTCTGATAATGAAGGATAATTCAGTTCAGTTGCCCTTTTCAACAAAAGCATACCTTAGTCAGCCAATTCCTGTTTAGACCTCATTACTCTTGACAGGTTGCTGGCTTTTTAACACCTTCCAGAAACTAAAGATCTCGGACGCTGAGATCTTAATCACTGCATCTACTTCTGCCACTGCTCCATTACAGTTACAAGATATTATTGACCTGTTGACTGGTCAACACTGCATTAGTTGGATTCGCACAGTAGCAAGTATTTAAAAGCATCTCTTTTTTAAAAATAAAGCGCAAAGTAGATAATTTTGTCATTTTAGTGTTTTGAATCACCACTAGGCTTTTACACAATTATTTAAATATTGTTTACCTAAGCAGTATTCAAGACATTTCAAATAAAGGTTACTACTGTTGTTTTTATGTCATCTAAATGGTGAATTACAAATTCCCTTCTTCATCCTAACATAAATAACTGCCCTAATCGTGCATGCACACATATGCATGTGTATCCACATACCTATTTTGTCCTAAATATGTCATAGGAAAATAGATCCACTTGGCATGTCTGAAATCAGTACTCACTAAGGAATTGCACATTTGCCTATTATATTGCAAAGTGATCAACACAATGTAATATAACTCTCAAATATATACTCCAGTCTTTAATGCAGTATCTTTCTTAGACCCTGGAAACTTCCACCTCACCACCGAAAATACATAACACAGAAGAAATAACGGTAGTACGGACAGTACTTGGACAAAAAAGAAAAATCCAGTCTGAGCACCCAGTTACACCACTAAGCCTATTTTTGTCATTATTAATATAGTATATACTTTCAGTTAAGAAGGTTAGTCTCCTGATTTTTGTTGTGCTGTTAGTCAAAACAAACTAATCAGACATCTTTACATTTGATGTTAACTCTCAACAATCATCAAGTGAAAATGTTTGGCTAAAGTGTGGTCCAACTGGTGACCCAATAAAAGGACAGGAAAACAATTGTGTGTTAAAAATTGTGCAAGATGAAGGAGGCTGACTTTCATACGAAACTAAGAAGCAGAAGTGGTTGTGGGTGGAGTACTCTGAGTAATTCTTTAGATAATATATTTAGAACATTACAATGTCTGCTGCTTACAACTCTGAAATTACTTTCAAAGTCCATTAGAAATATAGAACAATGCGTGATCTTCTCTAAAAATCTCACAAAATACAGACCAATTCGTGGTAAATTTGCAGGGGCACAGCCCACAGCTTTTTTACGGTACCTGTGACATATTTCTAGTTCCTGATCCACACTGCTCAGTCAGAAGACCATTTCAGTATCCCATTAGGGAGCACATTTCTAGCACTAGTAAACAGTATGTTTTCACTTTCCTTCTCAGAAATAACAGAGTCATTTTTACAAGAATTTTTAATAAATAAATAAATAAATAGATAAAAGAAGGAAAAAAATCTGAAGCTTGGATGCTGACATAAAAAAAATCATCTTGTATGGATCTTTAGTCTGGCAGACTTATACGCAAAAGAAAACCATGCTGTAATGGAAAGTATTAGGCAACATATAATGACAGAAATTGCTGCCAGTTCTTCTCGCAACAGTAATGATAACACCAGTTTATGAAGAAACAGCCTCCCACACCCCTTCAGCTTTGCCCCTTTCTTTTGAAGGGATTTTATTCACTGCACGGTAAAATTAATCAACTAAAAGCAATAATGTTAGCTGGTGGCATTTCTCCTTTGATGAATATAAATCACTTGAAGATATAAATAGGATTTCAAAAGTACAATGACATTTGGCAGATATTTCCTGCAGCTGTATACAGGTAGAAATTTTCATTTTACCACTGAGAAAGAAAACAGTGAACATTTTGAAATCTAATGACTCACCACTAAAATATTTTCTCAGAAATGAAAAAAAGATACTAACATGGGTTGATTAGAAAAGCTGATCATCTCAGTGACTATCTCTGTATACACAAAAATACTTCTGCCTGAATTGCAGACAACTTAAAAAATTAAAAAATTGAAGTAATTTATATAAATGCTTCATTAAAAATAACAAAAATTGTATATAAATGGGGAGCCTGACAAAGACCAAAAAAGAATAATAAAAAAACTACACAAAAAAGTGGTAAAACAAAAAGCAGAGAAATCAGACTTGACTCTGATTAAATGGCTGATGGTTCAGAAAATGTCAGAAAACCTGCCACGCAAATGAGGAAGGAATTAGAGCAGAAAAGACTCAACAATTCCAGCAATTAATCATGGGATATTCAAAAGCAGGTGAATTAATAGTAAAAAAAATCCTACTATAGGATATAAAAAAAGTTAACTTTTTTTTCTAACAGATGTGATGTAATTCCATATCATTCCTGGACATGTATAGGTAAATATTAGGAGGCCAATTTGGAAAAATGGGCAGTCATCATCAAAACTGCACAGATGAACAATATTCCATCTTTACCCACCAAACAATGAAAATAGACCACGGGATATTGGTATTCCTGGTGAAAAAATAGGGGAGAGGCTCAGTAAGCCCACGCTTGACATAGAAATTATGCCTGGAGAAAGACAGAAAGAGATAAATGAAGTTATACAGTTGCACCCTGCTGTTCAACCCACTTGAATACCTGTCATTCTGTTTCTGAAACAACAGAAATCAGAAATTACTGGATATATTTATTCAGTCTGTTCTAGGCTAGAAACTGGATTAGATTATCATAATAACCCTTGTAACTGAAAATAGGTCCAATAAATATCTGGTCTGAGCACCTCATTCAAACACTTACAAACATCCAATCCAAGGTTAATGTTCAACGCTATTTAAAATACTAGTAATAGTTCAGTCAAAAATTAACGGTACTTACGGACACAGACAGGAGTTTGTCCAGACCACCTATGATCCTGTAGGCAAATTCTGACAGATGTACCAACAAGTCGAAAGCCAGGGTTACACTGGTAGACTACGGTATCACGATAACTGAAACCATCTCCACTAATATGACCATTTACAATTGGATCCGGAGAACCACAGTGACCAGCTACAATAAAAGAACAACCCATTAGAAACATATATTCTTACAAACCTTGCCAACATTTACAAGAATGCTCATAGTAAAACAAAATTTCATCCTTGCTTTCAATAAACAATATATTAGAGTCAAATACCACACTGTACAGAAAAAGTTCTGAGGTGTAAAAACTACAGGTGATATCTATTCTTGTTTCTTTAGGGTGAAGTGATGTTCAAATAGTTTAAACTTTCATATGTATAATTGCTGCAGATTCTGTTGTAGAAATGACAAATTTGTCAGAAGAATGTAAAGAAGAAACATAAATAGCAAATTTCTGAAATTACAAATCATTCCTTTTAATTGCTAGAAAACTGACAAATATAGCATGGATATTTTTTTCCACTTTCCCTTAGTAAGGTTGCCTTTTTCCTCAGAGAGGTGTGAATTAAAAGGTCTATAGCTCTCAGACCCATACTATTATTTCATTATAGAGTTCTGATTTCTCTTATTCATGATTTGCTTCGGACTTTGTAAGTAGATGTCTAACAATAAATTAAACATAGTTGCTACCATTCTCTGGCAGGGGCCAACCAGCACAAAGCATATCCACTAAACGAAAATCTCTTGCCCTCCAGACCAGCACAGCTGCTAGCAAGGTGCCTACCATGTTCAATACTGGTTCAAGGTAACGTGAACCATTCTTGGAAACTGTCTTGGAGAATCTTAGCCAAAAACATGTCTAGATATTGTTCTAATGATTTAACAGGAGAGATGCTAAAGTTTCATGCTCATTTGCAAGTCCTGGTGTTGTTATCTTCTTAGAACAAACATAGCCCTTGCTATTACATGCATCCAACAAATAACTGATTTCTCACTAGTAGGTCTTCAGATATTAGTTGACAGATCCTAAGACTAATCAAATTAAAAAAAAACCCACCTAATTTTTTAAAAAATAAAGAAAACATAAGTAAATTCTGTGGTCTCACAGTCAGTCTATTGCCTTCAAGAGAAGAAACACCAAGATATTGCATATATGTATATATGTCCCACTTAGCTATATTAGCTCATTTGCATTTAGGCCTATATTTATATTTATACTTGTATTTATGTTTATACTTATATTTATACTTATGTTTATGTTTCACAGAATTTTTTCCAGTCTAACTTAAAGACTGCAATATAGAAAGCAGCTTTCTACACAGACTTCTTGAAAAAAAAATTATCTCCAGCTAAGTATATTTTGTTATGTTCAAATATTTCCTAACATTCAGCTCCATTTTGTACAACTAAATTCATGTTTACTTATTATTGGCTCTTAGTAATGAATCATAAAAAGTGTTTTTATTTGAGTTTACTCTTTAAAAAAAATAAACTTTAATCTTCAACTGATTCTTAGCTAAACTGATATATTAATGCCTTTTCTGTGCTCATAAATTCATATTCATGCCAAAATTATAATAAACTCTTCTTTATATTGCTATATTGGTCAGTACACTTGAAATAGTCACCTCCTCCAGCTCTACAAAGGCATGGAAAGGAAAGAATGTCTACCAGCACTGTTTCCTCCTCAGTTATAGCAGCTGCTGTTAAACAATACGGAAGACATTAGTCCAGGGCAATAGCACTTTTGGCACTAAGGCAGGCAAGTAATGATTTTATTCTCCCTAGATTCTGCATTCTGTTTGAAAACAGAGCTGCTGAGCGTGAAACTATTTCTCTTTACTGATTAAAGAGAAGAAAAAAGGTCATTTTTTTTGTGACACTGACTAATTACAACTGGTAATAATTTCATCTGAAACGATGTTCAGCCCTCATGTTAGGACATGAGGACAGGGACCTGAGGCTCATGACCGCTGCTAGAATGGGGGAGTGTGTGATGTTCTGTTTCACATAGGCTGTATCCATCAACATTAGGCTTGCTTGTAACTTAGCTTGTTTGGGATTGAATCTCCGTTCTACTAAAGCCTTTTTAATGATGCTAGAGAGTATGTTTCATTTACACTTAATGGCTCTTCTGAAACACTAGAAGGGAAAAACACTCGATTTCTTTTTTCATACATATAGGATTATTATAACAATCTTAATTGTAGGATTGCTGATGTCTTTTAGGAGATGGGATATTGTTCTGTAAATTTGCGGAAGAAAGTATGAATATCAGCTTTTCACATCCAACTTCGTATACAGCTACTCTTCCCCTGACAGGGAATATGGTAACAGAGAGTAACAAGGACACTGAAAGCATATGTTTCTCCTTCAGATGTCTCATGGAATAATTTACTTCACTGTTCTCAATCCAAAATAGTAATGTGATCCCCTTTACCATTCTCTTTTCTCCAGCCTCACTCAGCCTCTCCTTGCTTTTCACATACTCCAGTTCCTAGTCGCTTAATGGACCCTTCCCTGAGACTTGCTTCAGTTTCCAGTATCTTTCTTGTATGGTGGAGGACACAAAAACTACATACATTTCTCCACGAGTGGTGAAAAGCAGATAATAAACCTGACACGCCAACCACATTGCAGCTCTTGCAGTCCAGCCTATGATCTTCTTTACTGCAAGGCCACACTTTCAACTCTTGTTCAGCTTCTCCATTAGGTCATCTAGGTTGCTTTCTGTAAAGCTTCTTTATACTCAGTTCCAAGCCAGTACTCGTGAATGGCATTATTCTACGAAGAGTGCAGGATTCCGTATCTGTCTGTTGAACTTTCTGAGCTTGCTGTAGGCCCACTCCTCCGAATTCTTGAGGTCTCTCTGTCTAGCAATACTGCAACCCAGCACATCAACTGTTCTCCAGTCATTTGGTGTCATCCTCATACTTGCTGAGGCTGCATCCCAATCTGTTATCCAAGTCACTGACAGTAGTTGGATAGTACTGGCCTCAGTATTCATCCTCATTTGAATCATGAAACACTACCCTCAGAGACTGTTGGTTCAATTAGTTCTCCACCCATTTTGTAGTACCCCATTCAGTCCCTGTATTCTCAGTCAGGCTACAAGGATACTATGGGAGACCGTTTCAAAAATTTTGCTACAACACAAAGCGAAAAAAAATCTGCTGCTCAAATCTACTGAAATCTACATTCGATAAGACAGTCATTGGAAAAAGCAGTAAGGTTACAGAGGTTTGCTTTTGATTGTTCATTCTGTCTGGTCCCAATCATTTTCTTGTTTTTCCTATTCCTGGAGATGGACTTAGTTCCTAATACTTGCTCCCTCATTTTTTCCAGGGACCGAAGAGAAATAGCTAGCCTCTTGCCTTCTTCGGAAATCTGGTGTTCTAATTTTATTTTTTTTTTTCCCCAGTAATTGCAGTTCCCACCGTTCAAGCATGGTAGAAAGTAGCCTCACAGTGACATATGCCACCAGCTCAGACTTATCCAGTCAAATCACAGATAGTAGTTCAGTTTATTTGAGCAGTTCCTTAATTGATTCTCTCTACTGCTGTATTATCTCTCCCTCCCCAACTGTACTACGAGGAGTAACAAGTTCATGGTCTGGCTAATCTATGGCCTAGATAAGCCATGTACTAGACCAGAGACATACCTCAGTTTTAATTAGAATTTCTTCTCCTAAAGAAAACAATTCTGTATGGACTTAAGTATTTAGACACTGGGACAACTGCAGATTTTGCGAAAGTAAATCTATGAAACATTCAAAATGGGAAAAGAGAAGCTGTATTTATACAAAACAGATTACATTTGTTTTTTTTGAATTTTTCTAGACCTGAATAGTGAAGAATTGAAAAGCAGTTGCTGCATTGAAGCCAAACACAGGGAACCACATGAAATCTCAAGAAATATAGCTGAGATGTACCAACTGGCATAATGCAAAATGCAAAATATTATGCACTTTCTCTTAAATGGGGATTTAACAAGTTGCTGGACTTCTTCTGTGAGTCATTTCATTTACAGATCATTCCAGCTAGTGGATTTAATGATTTTTCTGGGAAATTTTGACTCATTTAGATTAAATATTCCAACAAGAACTATAGCGCACTGCAATAACATGAAATGTATGTAATTTTCCCATCAAGCAAAATTAGATTAAAAGAAAGACTGATAGTGGATTTTTTAATTAAATGTGCTCTCAATAACTAAGGAAATTGTTCACATGGTTCAAGGTTGGTTCAGTACTTTTATTCTAAAACTTCTGGAAAGCAAGATAACAGATAATTATTTTAGTTTAATAAGAATTTGAAATATAAGCCAATATCACAATATCATATTGCAGTTCACCTACGAGTTAACAATTACAGGATCTGATATTTTTACACAAGCACAGTCAGCAGCAACATTTTTTCACACTGACAAATGTAGAGAATTATATATACGATAAAATTACTTAAGATGTGGAATTCTTTTTTTTTGGAAATAAAATACGCCAAAAATCAAAAAAAATGCAAAGGAGTAGATTATATTTAAGTTTAGATTTTGAAGTATCTCGTTGACTTGTTTATGCATAGTTTTGCAACTGAAAGTCATAAAAACTCGGGAAAAAAATATCTGTTCAGGAAAACACTTTAGTCCATGATAAAATGCCAACAACACTAGAGATGGAGTTAATCAAACTCGCAAATACTTCCGCTTTGGTCTGTGCCCTACATGTATGTATGGTCACTCACACACACAAGGCATGCACACAAACGCATGTTTTATGACTTATACATGCAACTATTCTTGGAAGGAAAAAAAGGGAAGAGATATGAAATATCAGCAGTGTGAGTAACTAAGTGAAATTGAAAAAAATATTCTCAAATGATTCATATTTATCCTTGTGTGACTAAGAAAAAATACATGTAATGCTAACTACCTGAAGACTTAGGTCTTCTGTTTAGCCTTGGACTCATTAACTACAGTCATTGGTTTTTGGTTTTAGCTTTCTTTTGAGACAAATAAAAAGGATTTGACAAATCCCTTCCTGAGACACAGGAATTAGTGTACTCAGCTGGCCTGAAATCATAAATTGATTCTACACAGACCAGTGGGTAACGTAAAGTGATACCTATTTTCATCCATAGCTGTCCTGAATT